GTGTTCATTCTGTCCCAGGAATTTTCACAGCAGTGTCATGAGACAGTGACTCTGATGAGCCCTATTTTGCAGATGAGGAAACTGGGTCAGAAGAGTTGTAAAACTTGCCCAAGGTCACTTTATATTGAAGCCCAATTTCTAGCTGCAAAACCCTGACCGACCACATGCTGCAGCCTGCACCATCCCCCTCCTTATCAGGATGCTGAGACATGAGCTGGGTGGGCACATTGGCAAATACTCACCCCTGGCTTCCCCACCTCCTGCCCCCACACCCCACCTTCAGTGCTTGCTCCTTGAAGGTCATAAGCAAAGATTTGAAGGGCTTTGACTTTTTTGTGCTTTGCTATTGTCAGGAAATGGACTGAGCTGGTAAGAAGACCAAGTTGGGGTGTGCTCTGTGGGTTTGGGGAGCTTGTGCATGGAGGGGGAGGCCTAGAGGTCTGGGGGAACAAGCCTTGTGTGTGCCAATGTCAAAAGACGTCCAAACCCGTAGGAAATTTTTCTGAGTTTATTTGAGCCAAACTGACGACCATTGCCAGGAAGCAAAACCTCAGTGGATTGAGAAAATGCTCTGGAGAATGGCAGTTTTGCAGCTCATTGCATACATTAGAATCAAAGGAGGAGCCATAAGGTAGAGTTACCTGACATCCATTGGTGGTAGATTAAAGGGGCGGGAGAAGGCAAAGCAGGGGAACCTCTGGAATTGAATAAAAAGTAAAAATGAGACACACACTTCTTTTAAACTGGTGGGTACAGGATAGTTAATAATTAACATTTACAGCACCTAGAGATGGTATTCTGGGATCAAGATAACAGTGAGGGGTTCTGTGGCCTCCTGATCTGATGCAGTGGGTGGTGCCCTGATGGGTCTGGGGAAGGAGATTACTCTGACATTTCAAAGCTATGTGACCCTAGATGCACAAAGACAATAAACAGTCTTGCTTAAGGTAAAGACTGACCTTTGTCAAGGAAGCTACAGGCCTAGGACGTGACTACCCACCATGACCCGCTTTTAGTTAGGAATTTTTTTT